ATAGTTTTTAAAAATCAAAAAAGACGTTTTAACGCTATAAATTTAAAACGAAAAACGTGGAACGCTGCAATAAATAATAATAATAATAACTTAAATAATAATAATATAAATAATATAAATAGGTATAATAGTATATTATGTATCAAATTTATAAACGCTATTTAAGTTACGAGTTTTATTAAGCAAGAGCGAAGCTTGCCAGCTGTCAACTGTCAACTGATTTAACCTCACTTTTACCTAATTTATAATAAAGCTAACTTCAGCCCGTGACTAAAATGCCCAAAAGCCACTGTTGCTAACTTCAGCCTGTCACTAAAACGCCATAAAGTCGCAGCGTATTAATAAGGGAGTAGATAAATAAAACTATTTAGATTTGTACAATCGAGTACAAATATAATTTTAAAACATACATAAATCCAAATCCAAAATATACATATAAAAATTTGAATAAACATATAAATAAATCGAATATAAGTTACTACATAAATATTAACAGCACTTAACATTTATTTTAAAAAAGTTTCACACAAATATAATGGCTCTGTAAGCAGTATGGTTGGAATGAGGAGATGGTCAGCCATTATTATTCGACCCAAACAAATAAAAAAAATTACAAAATTAGTTATACATATTTAAAACCTGATCTATAAACAGACTGTGGATAGGTAATTAGCACCAAAAATTACCTTAAAAAGACATTTTGTTGCTTGAATCCAAAACTGTGTAAACTTATTTGATCCAAGATTTATTCTTATTATTCTCTTTTTCTAATGATCTTTCAATATTCTTTTCTTTTTAGTTTGGAATCACCTGTTGTAAAAAAAAATCCAGTTGCCGCTCCTAAACCAAAACTTGATAATAGCTCATTAGTTTTGCAAGTGAAATCTGGAACAGATAATTAAAATAACATGATGGTGGTCAATTAATTAAAACAATTGTGATAAAAGTGTGACATAAATCGTAAAAGACTAAATCTGTGCGCGGCTAGACCGGATGGTGAATCTTTAATGAAAGAGAAAAGTAAGTAGATATAGGTTTTGCATGCGGCGACCCATTTTTAGTTTCTTTGACATTTCCCCTTCTTAATGTGTGTTCACGAAACGAAAGTATGCGCAAACGTTTGAAAAGCATAAAAGCACGTGGTTTTACGTTGTATAACATGTGATAAAAACGGAAAAACACTTTGTATGAATGAAATATTAAACGAGTAGCTGGTGGAAATTTTGCTTGAGAAAAGAGGGGCGAAATATGGAGAGGTGAAACTCCGCCTTTGGACCAATCAAATTCGCTTCTGGACGATCGATGAAAGAAAACCTTCTCAGATTGTAAAAAGACGTTTTCATTAAAACTTAGTTTTGAACGGTGGGGGTAAGACAAAACACCACGATCATTATTCACTTTGAACAGCCAGGATATTAGTTGCTATGTATAACCTAACCTCAAACTAACAAAAATCTTGTCTAGCTCGTAAATTATTTTGACACAGGACTAGAGTATTGGCTATTCAAAGTTTTCAACTATGAAAACTACTTTCCTTATAATCAATATAATATAAGGTTTATTTGGGGAATACATTTTGCCACTACAAGCTCCTCCATAACGGAAATCAAAGCAAAAGTTTATACCGGTTTCCTAATAACGTCTAACTACAATATTACTTAACTTAATGAGATTCATTAAACTAATGGTCAAGCATTTTAAAAAGAATTAGCATGAAACAAGATTATTTTAAATTTGCTTTATTATATATATTTTTGTATTAAATATTCTTTATATTTTTTTACAATAACCAATAAAAATGTATGCAATTATTTTTATCATCAAAAGTAACATCTAACTAAAAGTACTAACTACCTAACTCAAATATTATTAGATGCATTTAATTGTCTAAAAAAGTACAATGATATACATATATTAGGGTGTCCCGAAAAAAAAGAATATTTTTTTTTCTTCTCGTCTCTTGTGAAAATATGTTGGTTTGTCATGTTTTAAGAGCCCTGTAAAAAGATCAGCACCATTTAAAAATTTTTAGGGGTCGCTCAAGATTTTTAAAAATTACCAAAATCGTCAAAAATTTGATTTTTTTTTAATTTTAATTTTTTTTCTCGTTCCAATATTATTTTTTAATTTAAAAATAATAATGATTCTGAAAATTTCAAATCGATATTTTAATTTCTAAAGGTCGCTCAAGATTTTTTTAACTTTCAAAGTAGAGTATTTTGAATGTTTTCGAGCGACCTCTGAATATAAATATCAACGAACTTTTAGCGACCTTTAGAAATCAAAATATTGATTTGAAATTTACAGAATTTTTATTATTTTCAACCTAAAAAATAATATCGAGACGAGAAAAAGAATTAAAATAAAACAAAAATTCAATTTTTGACGATTTTGAAAATTTTTAAAATTCTTGAGCGACCCCTACAAAATTTTTAATTGGGCTGATATTTTGAAAGGGCTCTTACAGCATGATAAACTAACATATTTTTACAAGAGACAAGAAAAAAAAATATATTCTTTTTTTTTGGGACACCCTAATATATATATATATATATATATATATATATATATATACATATTATATTGGTATGATAACTTTGGTACTCTCTAAAAATGAATTAGTCAAAAATGTAATACAGGGTCCGGCAACAGAATTGAACGGTTTTAAAAATGCTGCTATGGAAATACTCTTGATTTGATATATGTCAAATAGTGACAGACTTGTACCTTATTGCCGAAAGTTTCGTGGCTGCTATGGAAATACTACATATTGATTTAATATATGTTAAATAGTGACAGACTTGTTCCTTATTGCAGAAAGTTTCGTGTACAATGTCAATTAAAAATTGTGTGCAGAAATTGAGTTGATTGACTTTATCAATGGGATTTAGCCTCTGGACTGTCGGTTTTTTTATGGAGTTTTAAATCCAGATGTAACATTCGTCGCAAACTTCGGTCTGAAATGTGTAGAGCAATCGAGTGCCGCTCAAACGCTTCTCTGACTCTTCCAATATTTTCTTGTATACAAACTGTACGAGTTCCAGCGGCAAATTTTGATTTTACACTGCCTTTTTTCGTTAAAATCTCTTACCCATCTCAAAATGGCATTTTTTTATGGGACTTTAGCTCGAACTTGAAAATTATATTCACGACGAAAGCGTATCTGCGTTTGTATACGAAGGACTGGGTCAGGGTAAACGAATTTACAGCAAAGATCCGTTGATTAACCGGCCAGTTTGACATTGCACACGAAACCTTCGGAAATAAGGTATAATTCTGTCACTATTTGACATATACCAAATCAATAGTATTTCCATAGCAGCCTTTTCAAAACCGTTCAATTCTAATGCCGCACCCTGTATAATAGTTATTGGTGGCTGCTTTTTCTCTTTTACCATGGTTAAGCATGTAATACCATGGTATCCCAAAATTTAACAGCCAATTCTTATGTAAAATTGTCCCCTGAATCCGAAAATATAAAAAGTTATGAAAGTGGAGCAGTTTTAGAGATATAGTCAATTCCATATTAAATGAAAAATTGACTATATCTCAAAAACTGTTCTACTTTTTTAAGTTAAGTTTTTACAAGTGAAAAAGCAGCCACTAATAACTATTAAATTAGTCATTTTTGACTAATTCATTTTTAGAGAGTACGCCAATTCATTTTAAAGGGCATTTAAAAATATTTAATACAAAATCTATTTATTATATAAATTGTTATATCCACTAAGGAAAGTTCTAGGCAGTATTTCTTAAAATTTAGAACGCAATAGACCAATAAAATCGCGGAATTCAACTTTGAACATAGTGTGCTATAAAGAATGCTATGCTCTAATTGGTTTATTGCTTTTTATATGCAGTGTGTTTCACTTTACCTGAAAGCACCCTTGTATTTTCTTTGTTTTTGCATAAATCGATTTGAATTTTTTATCAGCTGTACAACTGGCCTACTATAACATTGTTAATATTTTGCTTCGCTTTAAAGTAAGTTACAGCAAAAATTACAAAAAAAAGGTGATACTGACTTTTGTTTATTTAATTCAAATTTTTAATCTTTATGAAAAGCCCCTTTCTTCAGGTCGCCGTCAGTCCATGCACTTCTTTATACGTTTCTTACACTGAGAGAACAGTTTATTAACAATTAACTAGATTTATAAATAACTAATAAATGCTTTATTCGATTATGGCGGAATGAACCTTTATTTAGGACAAACAACGCATTGATTAAAATTGTTTAAATAAATCTTGTTATTAAAAAATAAAGATCAATTTATAATAAATGTTATTTTTTTGTAAAAAATAAATGCTTTTTTATAATAAATAAAGATTAATTTATAATAAGTGTGTTTTATTTGTGAAAAATAAATGTTTGTTTATAATAAATACTAAAATATTTAGAAGACATAAAGCTTTATTTGTAAAACCTATACTTTTATTCAGTAGAAACAAAGGATGAATTAATAATAAATATGTTCTATTTGTGCCAAATTAAACATTATTTTATAATAAATAACTTTTATATTTGATAAATAAATATTTGTTTTAAATAAATAAAGATTAATTAATAATAAATGTAATATAAAAAAGCTTTATTTATATATAATAACCTACACATTTATTCACTATATAGAAAAGTATATATATATACATATATATATGTTGTCGGTTTTGGCTTCTTAAAAGAACCGTATTTCTGACGACGTTTCGGTACAATCACATGTACCATCTTCAGGTCTTATCAGCTGGGCTGCTGTTGCTGCTCTGCTGCAAGTTAGCCGTGGAGTCCATCAGATAAGACCTGAAGATGGTACATGACATTGTACCGAAACGTCCTCACGTCCACACGCTCCTTTTAAGAACCAAAAACCGACAACACGGAGCAGATCCCGGAAATCCATCAATACATGTAACACCCGTGGAAACCTATAGGTTTATTTAAAACTTAGTCTGGCTTTGAGGTATATATATGTTCTGCTTTATAAAGCAGAACATATATATACCTCAGAGTTATGGGCATCTGTAGAATAATTAATAAACTTGTTTACTTTTTTAACTTTTTTTATTTTTTACGAATAAATTAACAATTTGGAACTAATATGTATACGTACATTTTAACTTAACTGAAATATTTTTGATTAACAAAATAAAAATAAATACAAAATAAAAATATTCCCTAGTATACTTTTGTTTAGTTCGTAAACAGCAAAGAAAAAAAAACAAATTTCATGTCTACAAATGAAATTTTATTTGTTCTTAATTATAGCATTATAAAAATACGCAACTCGGTAATTTTATTTTTATTAACTAAAAAATTTACTGAAAAATTAACAAAATCTTACATTTCTTACATTACTTACATTTCCTGATTCATACAAGAAATGTATTTATGCCCAGTGCCAATAGTATGAATATGTGTAAGAAAAGGCCAATAAATATTGTTCAAAGCAATAATATTTATTTCAGTTAGAATAAGTTCAACATGATATGCCTCATAATGCTTATCAATTCCATAACAAACGATCTCTTTAAAAATCAGGTAAATTAGTTGTTCCTCATTGTAGATTACATTTTCAATCAATCCAAATATTGGTTCGCCGTATAAATCACGCTTAATCTGAAAAACTAGTCCTTTTGTATATGTAATTCCATTTACTTTAATCCAATTTACAATAGAGTAATCTTTTATATTTGGTACACTTTGAAAAAGTTGGATCTCTTTTCCGCCAAGACTAGATATATGCGTACCTGCTTCGAAATTGTCAGAAAAGCCCTGGTTTAAAATTAATCTGTAAGCTAGTTTTAACTGATGCTTAAGAGCCAAAGTATATGGAAGATTTTTCCGTGAAGAGACTACATTACTGTTAGACTTACTTATTCTATGGAAAGCTTCGTACCGAATAGAAGAAACCCTTGAAAGAGGTCCTACGTTTTGGATAATTCTCGAGTAATGTGTTAAAAAGTGAAACTTTGGTGTCAATTTTCCATCAAAAAGAGAAATATAAAGTTCGTGATGTTCATTTACTAAACTTTGAAAATATATTAATTCACTTTTGGTAGTTGTATTCTTTGAAGCAATATGTACAATATTAAAAAGTAATAAATAAAAATGCCATATTTCTTCGGAGGTGTCTACTAAATCACCTATTATAAAAGAAAAATAAGTAACAAAGCCATGCATCTCTGATGCTGACATTATTATAAATTCTTTTTCTACTTGACTTAAAGGAATTGGTGGTATCTTATTACCAACATCAATTGCAGAATGATTAAAAAAACGTATGCGGTTATTAAGTATATCAATAGTAAAGTATTTCTTTTCATATATTAAGTTTTTCAATATCTTACCAAAGTCATAACGACACACACCTTCATACAAATCATGCATGATATCAAAGTGTATATTTTCTGTATTGTGAAAGAATGGCAAATCATTCCACATACAGTTACTTTTAATGCCATGGCTTTTTTCTTGTACATGTACATCATAGTTGTGTCTATCTCTAAGTGTATTTGGATCTTCTTTTGTCATATTCTGTGTGATATTTTTGTGAGAAAAACAAGCTCGACAAAAATGATTAGAAGAAAAGCTCTCAGTCATGCCAATCATTGAATTTATACCTAGATTATCTCCCAATAACAAGGGCATTATAAAATAAATTTTTTGATTATTAATAGTAATTCCTTCGGATTCTAAAAATTTTAATTCATCAATAAAAGGTCTAAACACATTTTCATTAGAAAATTTTACCCTGTCAGAAGAGTAAAATAACCCCCATAGAAAAACATTTTCTAATCGTGACGCAAATTTTGGATTTACAGCTGCAAAAGAAATATATATTCCACCTAACTTATGAACTCCCGCTTGAGTACCTAGCGGATTACCAGTTTCGAAATCATCGAAGTACATAAGCAATGGTAAGATTATTTTATCCTTGTATTTATCTTTAAGTGATTTCCACAAATTACTGTTAAATATGCTGGATAGTTGATTTAAATTAGCCTCTTCAGTTTCGATAAAATGCAACATTTCTTTTAAAACGTTAGGTATTTCTAAAAATTTTTGAAGTACAATTCTTAGTGGAACAATTTGACCTTCACATGGTTTAACATTGAGAATTGAAGAAGTGGCAGAAGAAGAACTTTTATTATCTATCATATTTCCAATAAAAAATGATCTGGGCTTGATTAGGAAGTCAAATTTTTCCAAAAGCTGAAAACGTTTGTATTCTGAATTTGTTGATGCAAATAAATTACCTGATAAAAGAGAAACTAATTCATTGTATTCTGCGTTATCTGAAAAAATTATAGATGGGGAATCTAACTTTTCTAGTAATTTCGAAAATATACTTCTTAATAATTCGGAGGTATTGTTGAACGTTTCTTGTACTATTGAACGATTAATTAAGTTATTACTATACAATTTACTTGTAAATTTTAGTATAAGCATTTCAACAATATTTTTTAAATTTTCTGGTTTGTTGGGCAATTTCTCCTCAATGTTAAGATTTTGTTCATTATTATTAGCGAGTTGCATATTATTTAAGGTTAAGTTTGATTCAAATATCTTTTTGTTAGATACAGATACGTTGAATTCGCAAAATTTACTATCATCATGAAAACTTTGTATATGTTTTTTAAGTGATGATAAAGAACTAAAATTTCGGTTGCAATTGACATAGCAACATGAAAATGAACTTACAAATCGATGAGCAATTGTCATATGAGTAATAAAACTTTGGTTTTTGGCAAACACTTTGCTACAATTTTTGCAGTTCATTTTTAATTAATCGATTATTTCAATCAGAAGAGCTGATCTTATTTACTATATCTAATATGTTTGGGATTTTATCATACATTGTTTTTATATTATACATTCCCAACTGTATAAACATCCATACATGCTCACATTCATAAGGATACTTTAAATTAAATGTATGAATCAGTTCAAAGCAAACATCAACAGCTTTTAAAACTGAAACTACATGATACAAGATATTGTTATAGCTTACGTAAATGTTGTTTATGTTAGTGTATGAAATACCCTCAATTATGATGAATGGTAATAATGGCAAACCATATTTTTCCAATTTCTTGCGCTTCTCGGCAATTATATTTTCAATGTCTCCGGGAATCTGAATAAAAAAAAAAATTATCAATCTGTGCACACAAAAAGATATTACATATGTATTATTAAAAATAATACTAACCTTTATCTGAACAACTATTCCACTAACAGTTTCAGTTGAAGTTGGATACCAAGTGTTTTTTGCCTTTTTGTTATATGTTCTGGTTGGCAGTAGTGCTGCTAATAAACTAAGCATTAAATAATGACGAGATTCTGGAAAAACAATAAAATTAGATTTACCTATGTACCAACACAATTGTGTACAAATAATATGCGGTGTAATTTTTTGAAATATTTTTTACATAGCTTTTATAGTACAAAATTATCAACTCACCAACATCTATATTCTCAGATTTAATAATTTCTACCAGTAGAGTGTCGCTCTGGTTTAGGTTTTTTTTCTTCAACTGTAGTAGTTTAGAGAATACTATTTCAAAATTGTTATAGAGGGCTTGGTACTGCTTGGGATATTTTTTTTTAAAATCAAAATCTATTAAATGGTGCCCTAATGGGTTTTGTATGATTGGGAACAACCCTAAAATATCCTTGAAGTCCAGATCTTCTTGTCTAAGCAACCCTTGTCGGTACTCATAAGTGCTAGTCCATTTCTCAACCACATCACTCCATGGCACTTGATTATTTCTTAGCCAAATAATATTTTTCTTGTTCTCGTCTTAAAAGCATAAATTAGCATTATAATAGGCTGGCAATTATATCGCCCTCTTAAGATTACAACTTTCGCGATAAACGAAAAGGCCTTAAACAACAATAAAACAATTATTGTTTTATTGTTAGTTAAGGCTCTTTGGTTTATCACGAAAATTAAGTTATCCAGTTGTAGTTCCAAGGAGGCGATATGTAATAATATATTTACATTATAATTAAGTGCAGAGTATTAATAATAATATAATATATAAACATTACAATTAGGCACAGAGTTTTAATACTAAATTAAATCAACAGCATAGATTAAAAAGCTATTTTGACAGTCAGATAAGTAATTTAGGTACCACCCAGTGGCGTAACTAAGAGTATGTGCGCCCCCCACAAATTTCTGAAAGCGCCCTGTTACTTTACACCCCTCTGGATCCTTCATATTTATATTTTGATAAAAAGGGATTCAAGGCGCCCCCGCATAGCGTAGCCTGTGGAGGCATCAGTTACGCCACTGGTACCACCTTTATATTTAAAATTAAATATCAATTAACAGGGTTTCGAAAATTGAAGTTTTGCCAAAATTACTTTAACAAGAAATTGACCAATACCAATACATAATTATGAGTAAAAAAATTTTTTTCTGGCACAAAACATAGCTTATTATGGGTAAAAAATGCTTACAAAAGCTGTTTTTTGTACGATAAAAGGTTCCGAAGATATTCGAAAAAACGATTTTTTTTCTAAAATTTCAACACCCTGTATCTCGAAAATTGTGCATTTTAGAGGGTAAGTTAATAGCGACTTTTTTCATCTTTTTGGATGAGCTATCACATCCTGAAGTCCTGCGCATATATTATGAAACACCCTGTATATATATATAGGTAGGTATTACGTTTAATTGTATAATCCATTTTAGCAGTGGGATTTTAATATTGTAAATAAAATTATTAGGTATTAGAGTGTTTCAAAAAAAAATAAAAATTATTTTTTTTCCAATGGTGTTGAAAAATTAATAGTACATTAAAAAACAAAAATGTTGGCGCCTATTAATATTAAGGTTTGCCTCAATTCATTTTTTGTTTTTCCATTTCAATATTACGGGAATTTTTATTTTTTTAAATTGGAATTCTTATAACTTTGGATCGGTTTGTTTTCGCAACACCCAAGCGAGAGGAGTTATAGACAAATTCACGCTCTACAAAAAACATCTGAAGGTCAAAGTTCTTCAGATCAACCGTTTCAAAGATATCAGCGATCAAAAATAACACTAATAAAAAATTTCAAATAATTTCAAATAAAATACAAAAAAATATCATATGCCATATTTATATTATTTTTTATGTAAAATCACTTTAATTCTTCTTAATATTAAGGGCTCAAATATGCGACAAAATTTTTGTTTTTTAATGTAGTATTAATTTTTCAACACCACTAGAAAAAAAAAAATTTTTATTTTTTTTTGAAACACCCTAGTATGTATATATATTTTTTTGATGATTTTAGATTATTTTAAATAAAACCAACACTATAAAATTATATTTACCCTTGAGTGAGGAGTAAGGTTGGGTACTCCTCACTTAACGATTATACAGTATACTTAAAACAATAAAATTTATAAAATCATTTTTTTGATTAAAAACATGATTTTTAAATCTAGTTTCGCCCAACCCTGTCTAGTAATAAATAAACTTATACATACCATCGTCATCAATACTGTCTGAAGTAACGTTTTGCAAAAAATTTTCATTACTTTCAGATGGTCTTCTAGATGAAGATAAAATACCAGCTTCTCTTAAAAATGTTAGTCTATTCCTGTATTTGTCCACCAATTTGCCTCGAGCTATACCACTTTTCTTTTCTCGCGAATTCCTTTTCTTTATTGGAGAAGCAAAATATACTTGAGGTAGTTCATTTGGAAATTCACTTACAATTTTTTGCGATAAAATTCGAAAATCTTGATTACTTAATCTTCTGTAATAAAGAAAGAGAAGTTATTAAAAACCTTATCTTCCAAATTTATATGTTTGATCTTACCTGAATGGCTCAGCATTCATAAAGTGCTGAACAATGATTTCTACCAAATATGATTGACATTTACTATTTAAAGTTTTTTTAATATTGTATAGCTCCTTTATGGCTTTTCCTGTAGTACTTTTTTCTAATAATTCATGCAAATTTAAATTTGATACACATTCATTAATTGCTGAGGACAAATCCTCTTGAGAGGAAAGCCTTGAATGAGAGGGAGTAGATGAATAAACTGGTACAACTGTGTAATCATGTGACTCTGGTTGAGGCTGGTTATTTAAATCCAAAATTAATATTTTATTTGATTGGGTACTTTCCGAGGTACTTTCTGTGTCTAATTGCCTAAAATGGAAAAACAAAAATTTACGATTCTGCTACCTACTATAGTATAATATAGGTATATGCTCCACGCCTAAAAGGCCAACTATGATTTTAAATAAGAAACCCAGCCTTAAAAAGCTAAACCATTAAGGTCTGTCAAAATATAGCCAAGAAAACTAATTTTATATTGTTATATATTTACTTTCATAGTCTAGCATATTTCACAAAATTATTTTTACGTTTAAAAATCATATAAATTTATTTAAAATTTGTTTTCTTTTGTCAATACTCCGACAGATGTCGACTCACAAGGCTGCATTCCTCAATGAAATGTCAAAGTGGGCTTTTTTGGTGTGAAGCATTATATTATGCTATGGTGGTACTTATCAGCGTTACCATTTTCTGTAAAAAAAATCAACTAGATTTTGTTTAAATTTACCTTAACTTAAAAATGACACAATGATACAATGCTTATTGTTAATTTGACGTTATTTAATTATTGTTGATTGGGTATTTTTTGTAGTTAAGGTAAATTTAAATCTAGTAAATTTTTTTGACAGTCAACAGGCCACCATGGTACCTACTTATATGATATAAATACATACTAAAGGACAGATGATATTTAATTTAAAATTTTGAATTATGAATATTTTACTTAATTATAATTTAAAATCTAAAAATAGACATATTTTTGTATTATACAGGGTGTCCCAAAATAAGCCTGCTAATCTTAAGAAAAATAACACTATTTTGTTTAAAAAACATGTATCGAAAACAGCCCCTTAATAAGGCCACGCCCCTTTGACAGGGCCCCAGGATGATGTTTTTTAAAGAATTTTTAAAGTGTTACATAAAAAATGAATAGCCAACATGTCACTTTTGTTACAAAGCATACTACTTAATATGATTAAATTAAAATATGATATGTGGAAGCTAAACAGTGTAGGTACTTAATCTTTAAATGCAACAATGCATCTTAGCAATGCAAATCGGAAGTAACTTTTTTTAGTTAAAAGTGGTTAAAAGCTCTAAATTTTCACAATGTCATAAAGAAATTTAAAAAAATTAACCCAGATAAAAGATGTACCTATTTTGTACTACGCCCCTAAATGTTATGCCTATGAGTAATGTCCATGTAGATTGCACTGTTAACGTTTGGCGGGCTAATTTTGGATCACCCAGTACAGATAGGGACATGGATTCATGCAGCTATAGGTACACTTACCAATCAATGGGTTCTTCATAGGTTTGAGCAACTGTCTGATGTTCGAGCAACTTGGTTTTTAATTTAATTCGTTTACCCAACTGAGGGATTAGTATCTTCAATTCTTCATTGTCAATAACAATTTCTTTTAATGTGGCCAAGCTATCGACGCCATTTGCTGCAAATAAAGTTTAACAGAGAACTCTCAATTATTAATATAAAATAATTTAAAATTTCACTATTACCAAACTTTATTATTAAAAAAATTATTTTATTTTTAATTAAGAAATATATTTATAGATATGCAAGCTAATTGTATACACAAACGTATATTTATTTATTATTAATAAACTCTTGTTAAACTAGTATAAAATCAGTGCCCCATGGAGAACATGGGGGCCTACTGGGGTAGATGCCTATATGTACTGTTACTGTTACTGTTACTTACTAATGGACATAAATGTTAGACTTACCACGACATGTCTCTAGCAAGTCGATAAATCCATTGCTTTTTAAAAATTTGTAAAGCTCGTCCAAATCTTCCATGTTTGGATTTTTTAAAATCGCAGACCCACTAGCCGGCACACAGAAAATAAATAACAATGCAAAGAACAGAAATTCTGTCACAGAATCACTTAACACTTGGTACACCACACAGATTAGATTATCCAATTTAGATAAAGTAAGATACGAACCATAGATAACAAAGCCTTTCGATACAAACATACGCACGCGGTCTTAGAAGCACGCGCAGAGATAAACGCAGCACGCGGTACACCCTTCTAGAAACGTCTATGCAGGGTTGCCGGACTCTTTTTTGGGAGTAGCCGGTGTTCCGCGCCAAAGTTGCCGCGTATTATATCCACAATAAAATAAATGAATGCAGGTTAACATTTTTTTAAATATTTATAAAGTAGAATAAAATATTAGAAAAAAAAGATAAATTTTTTTTTATGAAGTACATACAATGCAAGAAATTACTTCTACGAATATGAGTTTTACTAATATTTTTCTTTAACTATGGTAAATTTAATCATTTATTTCTTTTAAACATTTAACATTCAACAAATGTATAAAATTATGGCGATAAGTTGACGCATCTGGCAACCCTGCCCTGACAGAAGTTTTAGTACAGTAAACAAGAAATAAAGATTTATTCATTGTTAATATTGTTTCTCACCTAAAAATAAACTCAAAATTTATAATAAATAAATTTTTAAAGCTCGCCCTAGCAAATAGGTATTTATTATGACCAAATTTGCATTATTAATAATAAACATATGGGCAAAAAACAAATTATTTGTTTCTGCTAAATAAAAAATATTACGCAAATTATTAATAGTTAAATAGGTAGATTAACAATAAATTTACTTTATTTATTGTAAATAAAGGCTATCCAAATAAAGATTTTTTAACTATAAATCACACTTTTTCTCTCAGTGTATTGTTTCTTGATACTCTTATTTACCTCTTGTCCAATGATTTTTTGGCATGCTTGCCTATTTTTGTTACAAAATTTATCTGGATTTTTCCCTACCAACAATGACGGTATTGTTTATGTCGTCATCAAAAGTGTCGTCAATTTATTTTAATTATTTGCTCCTAAGCTTCTATATGACTCGCCATGATTATAGAAACTTGGAAAAATTCAAGTATCGTCATCATAATCGCCTGACGTGTCGTTAATTTATTTTAATTATTGGACTTAAAATTTATATTGCAGCGAGTTTATTAAACATAATGATATATCGCAATGCAAACATTACATTTAATTTTAAAAAACTAAGCTTAATAACCTCTTTTTAATTCTGACTCTTAGTCTTAAGAGTTTTCCATAAGTAAAAATCAAGTGGTTCACCTAGCAGGCTAATCGATGATGTTTCTTTCAATCTATTTCTGTGTACTATGCTCTAACAATTACGGTATTAATGGATGCGCCATCAAGGTAAATCAAGTTAAAAAAACATGGTTCGCTTAACATCGAGTGGTAAATCTGCAATTACAACCCATAATTCAGTTTTCAAAAAATACAAAAATCGTTGACCGTTTAGGTTATTACAAAAAAAGCCGTTCAAAATGCAATACCACACATTTATTTTTTGTGAGTATTACCTTGCAAATGATAACCCAATCTGGGTCTTTTGCCCACCAACTGCAATTTTGTGATGATACAACACCATTAGTCGCTCAATTCCATTATTCTAAACGTCTCCTTTTATCACCCTCTTCTAAAGTATGTTGGTTTAATGCACTTACTTTGACAAATTTTCGATGTACAAGGATTAGCGTGATAAGCCTCCAAAATAATTTCGTCCAAGGGATCCTCTTAAAGTATTCTTCTTGAACTGGACATTTCCAGTTAAATTAAAAATGCATTCCATTAAATATTTTATCTATTTTGCGTTTATAATGACTTCATTATAACACTAAAGTTGAACACACTGTAGAACATTTTCTATAAAAGTAAAGTCGCAAATTTCAAGAAACATACTTCTTTGGGATGGTACTAGAAATGTTCGAACTTACTTTCAAAATAAAATAATCTATATAGAAAGTCATACACCAAATAAGGCACTGCATCGCAATTGAGTGTGCTGAGTAGAATGCCGTGCTCTAATTAAACGGCTTGGTGCAATAACCGATCATGTGCAATTAACATAAACTGCGCACCACTCAATGTGTCGCGACCAAAAAGTTTGTCCTTTTTCAAAACAACATAACTTTTTTGTTTATTAAACGATTTTATTTTGGTCTGTGATGTCTGCTATAGCTATAGCTTCATATCTATAGCATGAATTTGCTAGAGGATGGGGCTATAGCATCCTTTAGCAAATTCATGCTATAGATATGAAGCTTATGGTTCTTCAAATAAATTTCGTACAGGGTGATATGTAAAACGGTCAACAATTTCAATAACTTCATCCAAGCCCCGTTTGTAAAAAAAATTATTTTTTTCTCGTTTTTACTTTGAAATAATGAAGTATTATGTCTTAAGGCTAAGTAAATGATTGTTCCTTGAATAATTCTGAACAAGCGACAAGCAACGAACTTCCATTATTTTCAGAGGGGCCTAAGTAAAGACCTTTTTCAAAATGACATTTTGGTGAAAATTTTCGAAAACTAATCCTGAACCGATATTTACGTTCGTCGCATGTTTTTTTTATAATTTTGATCTCCTGATTGTGATTCAGTTGTCAAATTTAAGTTGCAGATAAAACCAAATCAAATCAAAATTGGAAAACAATTCCCGGCTGTTAAATGTCTTAATAAAATCAGATTGCTGGCGTGTTTCTTGCATATTTATGATTAAAATGACATTTGGGGATTTCTTTTTTGGGCGCAATTACTGCAATTTGTTTGAGTGGTTAGGATAATATTACATAATTACATTTACATTGCGCACTAGTGATACCTTATTACTGATAAGTACCTACCTAATTGGTAATAAAGTTAAATAAAAATATTTTTGTTCATTTTAAAAAATTTTATGCGAAGATATAATCATAATTAAGACTACAAAATTCAACAGAATTTTCCATGCGTCCTTCCCTCTCTTTCACCCTCAGTTTTGTCCTGCTCCACATATGCTCAATAGGTTTCATATCTGGAGACAAAGGTGGCCAATTCATTCTCTTAATTGGCGCGGTGCGGACGGGCATTGTCGTCCACCAACACCAATTATTGGCAATATTTTGAGCATAAGGGACCACGATATCACTAACAAGCAAATCTCTATATCTCTCAGCATTCACTCTTTTCATTCGTCCACCCCAAACAGTCACTCGTCCACCTCCAAAAGCCACCCTTGCCTCCCGTTTCGTGCAATTTTCTGCGAACCGTTGATTAGTTAATTCCCGTAACTGCAGCAAAGTCTGGCATTGGTATTTGAATCATTTAAAGGAAGAATGGAAGTAACCTGGGTAAATAGGGGTAGGTTTGTAGGTAGATAGGTATAACTTATGCAAAAAAACTTCGAAATTTGGAAAAACACAAGCAAACTAAAAAATAGTTTTTAATGTTTTCCAAGAACTAATTTTCATTTGATCCTCGATTTGATTATTCAGCGACGTGATAATAACGTACTAAAGATGCAAAACACTGTAAAAAACAGTAAAAACCAGCAATCGTATCATATTAAGACATTTATATTTTACAACTGAATCACAATCAGGAGGTCAAAATTATGAAGAAAACATGTCACGAACGTAAATATCGGTTTAGATTTAGTTTTCGCAAATTTTCCCCAAATTTTATTTTGAAAGAGTGGTCTATGCTTAGGCCCTCTGAAAATAATGGAAGTTTGTTGCTTGTCACTTGTTCAAAATTATTTAAGGAACAATCTTTCACAATCTTATCTTCTTGTTCCTAAAAAGACTGAGTGTATTGCCTACAAAAGAGCATTAAATGTACTCTTTTGAAAAAAAATCATATTTTCGTTGCTTCCAATTCGAAAAATGTTTCAAGGTAAGACATAATACTTCATTATTTCAAAGTAAAAACGAGACAAAAATTATTTTTTTACAAACGGGGCCTGGATGAAGTTATTGAAATTTTTCACCGTTTAACATATCACCCTGTAGGAAATTTACCTGAAGAACCTTCATATCTATAGCATGAATTGCTGGAGGATGTGGCTATCAGAAAACACAGACCACAATAAAATCGTTCGAGAATCAAAAAAGTTATTTCTTTTTGAAAAAGAATGACCCATTGACTGGTGTGCAGTTTAGTTTTGTGAAAAATAGTAAAAAGTGTAAATGTGTAAATCATCATTATTGCTCCAAACGATGCGGAAGCCGTTTTTGTAAATATAATATGGGATTTCATATATAAAATACAAAACAATTAGGGTTTTCATTAATTCTTATAAAATAATTATAAGTAAATATAATTATAAAAATGCAGATTGCTTATTAACATGGACATAATGGTTATGGCAACGCTAATACTCTAATTTTGTGACGCAGGTGTATGTGCTCTTAATTCTTAATTCAGATTTTCAGTTCTCCTCTCTAATCCGTCTAACCAAAAGCTGGAGAAGTTGGCGTAGATGACTGAATATTAGGGTGTGCCAAAAAACCTCGATATATTTTTTTTCTTGCTCTCAACCCAAAATATCGTAGAATATGTCCGAACAAATATTCTGTTAAAAGCGGAGCTCATAATTTCAATTTTAAG